CTCCTATCCTCAAGTGCTGGTATTATCGGCATGAGCCACTGAACCTGCCCTATCTGGAAATTTGAAATCAGATTTATGCAGGAGTGTCTGGGTTATTATTAACGTCTGATTCATCTCTTCAAAGAAAGGGGTCAGTGACCCCAATGTCACCTTGGGCCATACATCATGAAGTGAGTCACAAGTTATGGGGCTATTTCCCAGGTGTTTCTGAGGGAAGAGTATTGGGTTCAGAAATGTTTTGCAGACCTGTCAGGGATCAGAGGACATCAGCAACAAGAATGCAGCAGAGTAGACCTTTCTGGGGGAGGCCAGGTGGGAGAGGAAGGGTGACCCAGCGGACATAGAGGACCTTTCACAGCAGGTGCCAAGACTCTAGGTCCTTCTCCAACATTCTGGTAAATGACCATTGCCCACCTGGCTGGAATTTGTGCAAAATTGGCTGCATTCTGGGAAAAGCACTTGTCAAATCCCGCCCAGAAAAAGGGCCTGGAGCCAACATGTCCCTTGTCCAAACCTTGTCTGTGATTTGCCTCAGAAACTGTCCTCCTGGAACCCCCAGAATGCCTTCTGCTCCTGTACACCTGAGCAGTTCTTACTTCTTTGCATAGATTAGGAGGATATTCCAATCTACTCTGGATTAAAAGTCACTTTTCTTGCATGCTTCTTCCTCTGAGTGATAGCTATGGCTTCAAGCAGTTCTCTTCTTAGCTGAAAAAGTTGATCAAATATGTGGCCACTGAACTCTCTACACCTTACAGAGTTAGATAATATTATGGACACTTCTTTAAGGAATCATCTGAATCTTTAAGCTGTAGGAATGGACCCATCAGTGGATCATGGGATTAATTTAATGGGTCATAACAAGCACTTATGAAAATAAAATAGGAGGGGAGGTATCAGAATTTGAAAGGTATTGCAGTGTGAGGACGTGTGCTTCATGAGCCTTCTATTTCAGGGTGTGGATGGTTTGTGTGTTCGGGGGTTAGGGTATGGGGTAGAGGAAGCTGAGAAGCTAGCAAAGCTGTACTTCCCTCCATAGTATCAGTGTGTCCCTAGGAAGGGGATGTGTCTAGGTGGACCCCTGGGTGACTTGCTTTCCCAGTGGAATGTGATTTAAAAAGACACTTTATACTTCTGAGTCAAGGTGGCACTGACATTGGTGGGGAAGTCCTAAAGGATGGGGCCTCAAAGTGGCTGGGTCCCTGAATCACTGCATGGAGGAGAGCCACTCACAAACCAGGAAGCCTCACTTTGATACTTACATGAGTGAGAAATAGACTTCTCTTGTGTTAAGCCACTGACATTTTGGAACCTGTGTGTTATATGGCAGCAAACGCAATGCTATTTAATATATCTTGGAATATATTTTTGAGCCAAATATCATCATAAGATGTAATATTGTGGGGTCTGGTCAAAGAAGTTTGAAAAAAATGCCTGCTCTACCCCAGCCTCCTTATTTTTCATATGGAATGTCAAGAGAGAGTGGGGCCTATCCACTGTCTCCTGGATGAGCTGGGACCAAACCCCGCCTATGCAAGAGGGGTGATAACATGAGGTCTGGGTCTGCTTTGTTCCCATGGATTCCAGCAAAGCAGATCCCCAGTTCGACTCCAGCAGGCACACCTCTCACCTGTCTCTGCCATGTCCACACTGCTGCCAAGGGACAGAGCTAACATCTGGCTTTGCTTCAGGTGCCCTTCAGGTGGCCTCCAGCCCCAGAACAGCTTAGGGACAGGAAGGGTGAACCCTGCCTGGCCCTGCTGAGCTAGTTCTTGGGGCTCCTACTGCAAGCTCTGTGGTTAACGCCTCTGCTGACAGCGGACAGAATAGACTTTCTCTGAAAGTCTTGAGTTTCTCTGAATCTCTGAAGTGCAGGATTCTGAGAAACCCAGCGGCAGCCTTGCCACGCACCACTGGTGTGATCCTGGGTGAATCATATGCATGCCCAGGAACATGCCTCCATATTTTGTTGCAGGGTGAGTTTGGTCCCCGGTGCTGGTGCTGCACGGTAGATGGAAGCACAGAGGCTGCTGCAATCATGCAGAGCTTGTCACCTCCAGGAGCTGGAGGCCACCCTAATCCTGCCATTCAGCTGCTGGGGGTGGGGAGGTCCTGAGGGGTAAGGCTTAAGGGCTGTTTGCACACACATGGCCACGTCAGCCTTTGCCTTCCCCATCACCTGTCCCCATGGGGAGACTGGGAGAATGTGTTAATGCAGGTGACAGCCAGACCCAGGGCCTGGAGTTTGACAGGCTTGATCCCCTTGCAATACCCCTATGAGGTGGCCAAGCTAGGCATTTGCCTCAGCCCCACCCCCCAGTATTACCGATGGGGAAATGGAGGCTCCTGGAGCTTGCTTGTCTTGCTCGAAGTCCCATCTTGATTGGCTGAGAGTGGGCTAGATGGACCCCTGGCACCTTGAGGGCAGTTGGGCAGGCAGGGCTCAGGGCACTGGTGTCTGATGGACACTGACATCTCTGAATGACACTGACTTCTGTCTTTCCCGAATCTATAAGCAGCCTGGGATTTGATCAGAGTTGATTATGTCTCTTTCCCTAGGGGTGATGTTTGTTTATGGGAATAAAGCAAAGAATGACAAAGAGGTTTAGGAAAAACCTGGGACAGGCTGGTCCTCAAGGTCTGGGGATGGGGAGGTTTCTGTGCTCTCCCCACCCCACAGTTCTGGGCTCCCAGAGTCATCTGCTCATCTCCTCCTCCTCTACATACTCATGTTCACCCCTCACACTCCAGTGGCCTGAGCTTAGTCTCTTCAAGGGAGGCTGGTCTAGTTGTGTCCCTGCCCAGGGGGAAAGGGAACTGGGGTTCTGAAAGGTCTCTGCCGCATCCTTCCCATCCAAAATTATCTCGTTCATTCATTTTCTGGGCATTGCCTTTACTAGACTGCAAGCTCCCTAAGGACAGGCATCTTACCCATCTTGTTCACTGTATGTCTCCAGCCCCTAGCACAGTGTTTGGCACATGGTGGGTGCTCAGAAATATGGAGGTGCTCATAAATAGCTAAGGCTCAGGCTGTCTTTTCAAGAAAAGAAATGCAGAATCTGGATTTGGACATGAATACACTGAACAGAGGTAGGGAGGGTAGGACAGAGGCCTGAGGAAGGAGTACAGTCCTAAGATGAGAGAGTTTTTGATGGGTCCTGCTGGTCAGAGTATCAGGAAGTAGCCACTGCTGCCTAATAACCTTCCCCAAAAGTTAATAGCTTAAAACATTCATTTAGTTTGCTCACAACTGTGTACTTTGCAAAGGGTTTGGTGGGTATACCTAGTCTCTGCTCTGCAGTATCATTTAGGCCAAAGGATCTACTTCCAAGGTGGTATTCTAAGTTGTTATTGACTGTTGGCTCCTCTCCACAGAGCTGCTTGGGCTTCCTTGCAGCATGGTAGCCAGGTTCCAAGCATGAATGCACCAAGAGACAAGTAGTTGCATCTGACACTGCATCATATCCTCCATATTCTACTGGTTGAGAAGTCATAGAGCCAAGATTCAAGGGCCTCTTGATGGGAGCAGTGTCAAAGAGTTTTGGGGTGTGCTTTAAAAACATACCTAAGGTTTCCTGGAGGAGAGGAGTGAGCAGCTACACATACTGCAGGGTTTGGATGTGGCCTGTAAGCTCTCCAGGATGGCTGGAGCAGCCTTAGTCTATCACAGGGTGACTGAAGCCTCGCTCCTGCTACCATGCAGAAGCCTGCAATGTGCATGGCAGATTGTAGGCTCCAAAAGTGGCTGCAGCACTTCCAGTCCCGCATGCCATGCGCTTCTGGAACATTTACCCCCTTGATCAAGAAGTGGTATCAATTTTCACTCCCCTTGAAACTGGGTGGGCTTGTGACAGAATTGATGCTGTGTGCCTTCTGAGGCTAGGTCCTGAAAGGTGAAACGGCTTCCACCTACCTGCCTTCCCCTCAGACACTTGTTCTTGGATCCCAGCCAACAGCCCAGGCTTCATGTAGGTGCTCTGGCTGACAGCCCAAGCTAGGCCTCAGCATCAACCATAGGACATGTCAGTGAAAGACCAGCCTTAGAGTCTTCCAAAGGCCCAGATGACAGGGGTACCAATGACAAATCATCTCCACTGTGCCTTACCTGAATCTCTGCCCCACACAACCCATGAACATAATAAATGTTTGCTGTGTGACACAAAGTGGACTCTAACAAGTGGACTTCGGGAAGCAGTTCCATGCACAGGAGTCTGGTGGAGCCTCATCAAAGAGCAGGTTGGCCATTGAAGCTGGCTTTCGCCCCTGTAACCTGGAAGGCAGGGAGAGGTGTTAAGGGCAGGTGTGCAGCATTGGGCAGGAGGAATGCCAGAGGGGCTAGAGCACACCCTGTGGAAATGTGGTGGTTAAGGAACCACCTGTCATCCTGAGGGCTCGGAGGGACTCTTGGTGAGATCTGCTTCCAGGTGAGGGGCTGAGGTGAGCTGGAGTCGGAGGAACGTAGCTACCGGCCAGACCTGACAGTGGGAACGAGGCCTTCTCTGTGCTGGGATAGGGAAGGCTCTGACCAGGCTGTGGGATGGTCTGAGGGCCAGGAAGCTGTGTATGGACCACTGGGGCCCTGGTGTTGGCAGTTGGGTAGCTCAGGACCAGGGGCAGAACTGAGGGGCAGGAGGGAGGGATGTTGAGGGCCAGGCATGCTGTCGGAAAGGCACTGAATGACGATCTCTTTATACCATGGCCTTTGCTGGTTGCCCGCCCTTCACAGCACCCTGTGGGGGCCTGCGGATGACATCCCCTGCAGCCCCATCACCCTTTCACTCATTCTTACACCTCGTTAAATATGTCTTCACTTTTCTGAGTCTGACACATGGGAGGGGCTCCTGCTGCCAGGCAGCTGCTGGGGCTACAGCCCAGATGATGGGTCGGTGGCATGCCCTCGGAACCTACCAGGGCTTCACAGCTGGCCCGGCCTGTGCACTCTGTTGGCTGTCACCGAATGGCTGGGCAGCATCAAGCCCTTCTTGAGGGGCCATCCCCATTTCTGCAAGTGCTTGTGGGAAAATGCAGCTGCCTGGCTGCTCTAAGTCCTCCCCTCAACTTGGTTTCTAGCATTTGTTGAGCAGGAAGTGGGAGTGGCTCACCGCAGAGGGCAGGACCGCAGGCTCACGCAGGGCCCTACTCACCCCCACCCACCTCTGCAGTCTCCTGGGACCCCTCCCAGGCTGCATAGAGGATTTCCTCTGGGCTTCCTTAGTATTTAATTTTTTTTCTTTTGGTGTTTGTTCCTCGTATAGGAACATGTCTATTCCAGCCAATCCTGGCAATTTGAGGGGCATTTTGTGTGTAGTCTCACACTTTGAGGGTGTCCAGTCACATGTGCTGGGGGAACAAGTGGCCCGATATTGAACGGACCCTCTGGGCCGGTGTCACTTCTCTGGGTCGGTGTCGTCTGTCCCCTCACCAGCAGATACACCGCTCAGAGCGCAGAAGTTACTGGTGACGCACACATGTCCTTAAAAGGCTAAGATTGCTGGCTGAGGCAGAGGGAAATTACTAACTGAAATGGAGCTGTCAGAAGCTCCTCCAGCAGGGCCTGATCAGCTATGGGTGATGTTCACTTGTGAGAGGGCGCAACTTGGCAGGGCTGGGAGCAAGAACTCACACAGAGGGGCTGCCTTGGCCCTTGAAGAACCACAGACACCAGAGAAGCAGTCTCAGCACAGCCCTCATCTGTGAGGACTCTGGGCCCACCTGACGTCCTGCACCCTCTTCCCACTCACCCCTGGCTTGGAGGTGAGCCAGGGACAACCCTTCTGCCTGGAAAAGGGGCCCAGGAAGGAGGGTGTCTAGGGTGTCTTAGGTTGACCAGGAACTCAACCTGGGCCTCTGTCCCCGACCCAGCCAGCAGGTAGCTTTTCCTCTTGTGGGGCACAGCCCCTTAGGTTGAGTTCCCCAAGAAGCTGATCCTGAGGGAAGATTCAAGAGCACCTAGAGCTTAACCCTGCAGGGAAGCCCTGGGAAGCCGCCAGCACTCACATCAGGGTGACTCCAGCCAGGAGGTAGGGGCCTGGGTAGTTATGTATTGACTTCTCAACCTCTGGATGGGAACTGCTTCCAGGAGGTGTCATTCCCTCACTGGCACAGCAACTTTCTAGGGCCAGGAGCCCAACCTCAGGTGGAGAGGTGCAGGGAGGGCAGGAGGAGGTTTCAGAAGTGCTGAAGTGGTCATGCCCAAGGCACATGGGCGAGGCACTCCTGAAGCCCTGTGAGGGATGCCAGTGCATGTGTGGCTGTCGCTGATCTGAGGAAGGTGGGGTCACCCTCACTAGCAAGAGCCATCTGAGGAGTGCACCAGGCCCTCCAACCTTTTGATGGTAGAACATGAGGAGGGGCTGTGCCCCACAAGAGGAAAAGCTACCTGCTGGCTGGGTTGGGGACAGAGGTCCAGGCTAGAGATGGGCCCAGGCACAAAGGTGCCATTGGCTTCATGGCTCTGCCTAAGCTATAGAGATCCCCCTCCCCATCCCTCCTAGCTTGTCACTTGAGTATACTCACTTTTCCCCCATCCTCACCTGTGGCCTTTTCATCAGATCCCCACTGGATGGGTGGAAGTACGGCTACCAGGGCAAACCTGGTGCTCTGTGGAGAGTAGGGAGATGGACAGCAAGCCACTGGGGCGGCCCTCGCCAATGATCTCTTGGACCAGTGGGCCGAGCAGGGCTGCCTCAGGGTGGGACCTGGGCCTTCCAGCAGCCTCTGAGGTCCTGGCTGTCAATGGTCAGGGTAGGACTATATGACCTCCAGGGGCCCTTCCAGAATTAAGCATCTTTGAAACTCCTGCATTTCATGGTATGTCAGGCTCTGTGCTAAGTACTTTAAATTGTTATCCTCTTCAATCCTTACCATGCTCTATGAACTATGTACTACTATTATCTTCTGTTTGCAGATAAGGTAACTGAGGCCCCAGAAGTTAACAAACTAGCCCAAGTTAGAGAGGAAGGGAATGTCAGAGTTGGGTGTGAGTCCTGAGCCAGGCCTAGGACCTGCCCAGTGTGCAGTGAGGCTGGACCGACCTCTGCTTCCAGGCTGGGGCACAGTCCCATTGACCATGCCCCACCTGACAATGCCCTGCGAGGGACTCCTCTGGGCCGGGCCTGGTCAGCACCTTGCGCCGCCATGCATGGCCTGAAACAAGTCAAGCTACAGTCTCAGTTTTACATTAGTCTTTTATTATAACCATATTGAATGGGATCACTTTGCCAAAAAGAGAAATCATTCTTAAATCAATATGAGTTATAGCATAAAGATGGATGAGAAAAAAGTGATAGGACATAAATGGCATTACTGAGTATTCCATCAATCAAATGAATTGTGCCACTGTGAGAAAAACTACTATGACAGCTTTTACATCAAAGTGGTCTCAATCCTGTTTATATGAACCTTATATATCTTTTTAATACTATAAAAAGAGAGCTTTAGAAAGTAACACTGAGAAAACAGTCTGGCCTTTGAGAAGGAAGCCTAGCTTGCCACATGCATCCTCAATGCATCTGGCCTCCTCACTCCACTTCACAGCCTCCCCCACACCCCCTCCTTGACACATGGGGAAGGGCCCAGGGGCCAGGTGTGTGTCCTCAGGAAAGGAGGGATGGAATTGGTTGTGGCTGCCACAGAATGGCCACTTCTATGTGGGGAGCTAAGTCCTCGATACACACTCCTGTTCTATAATGAATCCTTGGGGCAGTTTCTTAAAAAAATAAAAACAAAAATAATGTGCATCAACTCTGACAGGTTATTATTAGGAGGCCAGCATGACTGCCACAGCGTTTGATATTTGTTTAGCATCTCTGACAGAGTAGAGCAGGCAACTAACCCTCCTGAGGCAGCTTCCTTAGCAACCCCAGGGCTGACAGCACAAGAGTCAATCCGTCATCTGCAGACAAGGCAAATCACAGGGAGGTCCTGGTTTATTTTTGGAGTCACATTCATTCTGCAGTGATATTATTTATTTCCAGATTGCAGTTACCACTGAACATTAGCAGGAGGTCAGCTCTGGAAGAGGAATCCAGTGTAACTAAATGTTTACCATGTTATCCGACCCCATGGCATATGCTTGAGGTAAGGCAAAGTCATTATGATTTGCTAGTCTGTAACTCTCACATGTAATATACAGAGCTAAATTTTAACTCAAATTCCAATCTGATCAAAGAGGAATGCATGAAACACAGACAGACATATATAAAAAAAGAGATGATGATGGGAATTAATCTAAGCTTCATGTATACAAAATGTATTTAACTGCTAATAATCAAAACATAAGAGGGGTTCCACTGATTACCACATTTGTTAACAAAATATATTCAGGATTTAAAAAATGTGCAATTAAACTAAGCACCTGATAAAATAATAAAAAGGAACACATATTCTTTAATAGCACTGTAACTAATAACTATGAAGAATTAAAAAAAAATTGCTTAAAAACCATAAGACAGTAATACAATTATCTGAGTTATGAGCCTGTGGGAATTTGAGGCTGGTACTGTCCATGACCCACTGTCCTTGTATATCTCCCTCCTCCAAGGAGGGGGTGAGCTTGTAGGGGCCACAGAAGCAATATCTCTGAGTGAAGCCATTGGACCTCACATGCCACCAACACAGCACAGGATGGAGAGAACCGAGAGCACCTGCCTCTAGTGCGAAGCAGGGCTGGGAGTTTTCAGTGACTATGAACACCCAGCCGACTGCAATGAGCCAGCAGAGAGCCTTATTGACATGGTGGGTGCCTAGTGGCTCTTGCAGGGCCAGTGACCCTCAGCTATCATGACTCTAGCTCTAGGGCAAAGGAAATACTAAAGGTCAGCAGATGACAGTGGCCCAGCTCCCCAGGGATGGCCAGCTCTGTGGTCCTTTCCAATCTGTCCCAGAGGCCTGGTGGGAACAGCTCTACACCTCTCACTTTAGTAGTGAAAACTCTGACACCTTCCCAAGGTGAGAAAGTGACCAGTGGTAACCCTGCACAGTTGCAAGGTCACTCACTGTATGGGGGCACCCACTGCTTACAAAGTGTTGTCATGGGGACATGTGCTTGGCAGCAGCTTACTCAGAGGTGCTGAGAGGAACGCTCAGAGCCAAAAGCCAGGGAGCTACAGTGTGCATATGCCAGGCAATTGCTCAATGGTGGAAGGCACACTACCTGTTATCTGGCAAAACCAGTGTTATTATTCACCATACATGTTGATGTGGTTAAGAGGAGATTTCCCTGCTAGAGTTTAAGAACAAATTGCAGAGCTAATTAGAACGCTCTCCACAGTAATTGACTTGGGAGCGAGTCACCATTTTCTTGGAGGGCAGGTGGAAAATCATGTCATTATCATATTTGTCTATGGAGAAATATAAGGTTAGCAGTGGGAGGGATGTAAACAATGTCTGTTCCTTTATAATGAGCTTTCCTTTGTTACCATGAAGGCCTCCACTGCCAAGCTGCCTCACCATCCTCTGAGGACAGGCGCAAAGAGCCAGTCAGCCGTGGCATGTTTGCTCTCCCTGATGGAGGTAAGACAGGCCCTGTGTCCCTCTGCCATCCTCACCCATTCCTGTTAGAATTCCTGTGCAGGCAAAGGAGAGGAAAAGTATCCTTTCCAGGGATCATCTTTAAGTAGAAAAACAGTTCATGTGATGCCCTGTGCCCATCATGGTTTTTTATGGTGCCAGCCAACAAGGGGGAGAGTCTCTAATCTGTGCTGAGCCCAGGAAGGCACTGGCATGTCAGACCCGGTCCTGGCAGTGGCACCCAGGATGCAGGGTTCATAGCTGAGCACAGGCCCTGCAGTTCCTACACTTGACTGCCAAGAAAGGAAGGGGTTGTGTAGAAATCCTGCATCCTCTTGGCATCTGGAATGTTTTCTAGGTATCCTTATTCCCCACAGAAGGGACTCTAGGTCCAATTCTCTAAGTCTTATGACTGCTCCTTTAAGGCCAATGAGGCATTCTGACTTTGGGTGGGAATAAACTTGGGTTTTTCCCTTTCTGCTTCAGTTGACGGGTATATACGGCTTTGAAACCAGAGAAACTTAACTAGAAAACTGCCTGAAAGATGTTTATCCCATAAAGTCAAGGTTACATTTTCCATTTGAAGGACAGTAATATTCTTACATCTTTTGAAATCAGTGCAGCAAAAACTAGCTTATAATAACCTTGTTTTCTGGCTATGGAAGATTCTAAAAGGTGAAGCAAAATTGTTTAAGGAGAGACAGTGATGGCCAAAGTTGATATGGCCTAAGGATTGCAGATGCATTCTTTAATACATCAAAAAAACTAACACTACATCATACCTAAATATGGTTCCTAAGTTTTGACCCTGTTTCCAGAGATCATTATAACTCTGAGAGGTCAGTAATTTTTTTAAATTTTTTTCCTCAGCCCTAAAATCCACTAGTTCTAGTTCATTCTATTGCATTTAGCTCTGTGATATGGCTTCCCAATGTAGGAATAAAGTGGGCTGAGATAGATTTCCACAGAGGAAGCTTTCTTGGTATAAACCAATTTTCCTATGTCTGATGCTTTGAGGGATAAAGATAAGAAAATAACTATTCTCCTCCTCCTAAGTATAACTGATGGAGTTGTCACACCCTTAGTTGGGGAGAAGGGGACAGAGGAAAAGTGATCGTAATTGTGATTTGGTCTTTCCTAACTGTCAGTGTGATACTGAGTACATAACTCAGCTCTTAACTCAGAGCATGAGTGGGGTGGGGGTTAGGTAAGGGCCCAGAAAGCCCTGTCTGTATTTGGCAAACTTAAGCCTGTGTGCTTTGTGGCCATATATGCTTCTCTCTCAGGGGTTTCAAAGGGCTGGACCAATGCCAACTGCATGCTGGGAAGGAAGCAGTGCTTTCAGAGGGGTCTCCACTGGGTGAGCCTCAATCTGGGCTTGGGACCAGGGACTGAAGGGTGGCTGCATCCCTGTGGGATAGGATTGGGCCCTGTGGTCAGATGTCCAGGGGACTCACGATGGTGAAGCCAGAGTCCTTGCTGCTGTCGTCATCAGGGCTGGAGCTGGGGTTGCTGGAGGAAGCTGAGACTGAGCCCATCAGTGGGTCTGAGAACACCAGTGGGGAGTAGGCTGGGGTCTGGCTTTTCCCAGAGGTGCTTCTGAGAGTGCGAAGAGGCTGGGCCTGCCCAGAGAAGGAGCCCCTGGCACCGCTTCCATCATCATCTTTGGAAATCAGGATGAAGTCATCTGAACTCCCTCTATCGGTGCACCCTGGCATTTCTGAAGAGGCCTGTAACGTACAGTTAGAAGTACAGATGGATGAAAGAAGAAACCGGCAAAGAATGGAGTGGACGGCCCTGTGACTGGGGAACGCACCATGGAAAGCTAGGCCACCTCACCCTCCATTTGACCTTGAAAGACAGTGTTTGGCCGGCTGCCCTGAGGCCCACGCTTTTACCAGTGGTGCAGGGCCAGCAGCATCTTGTGAGCCCCTCTGAAGCCAAATGCTGGCTTCCCTGGGGGAACAAAGTAAAGCTCCTGTCTGATAAGCTTCAGCCTCAGGTGGGACTCTGCCATGCAAATCATCCATCCTCCTTGAACCTTCACTCTCATCTGAAACAGGGGTAAAGACAGTGTCTTCCTCCTAATGTGCTGTCGTGATATAGTGAGATGACATGTGAGCTGCTGGCTCCCTAATGTGAGTTGCCAGATCGGGAGTGATTTTATTACTGGCTAGAAGGACAGCCTTCAGAAGGCCTGATGTATTTCATCTCATATAGATCTCACTGCTAGCTCATCTTGGGTAGCACACGGGGGTCTCCTGAAGTAATGGCGGTAACCAGTACGTTCTACAAATGTGAAAACTGAAAATGGCAATTGCAAAGTATAATGGCAAAAAGTATAGAGATAGAATTGCTATACTCTACAATTATTTTCTAAGCAATTATGAGTAGCTTTTAATTTTTTAACTTAATAAAGTTAACATCCACAAACACAGGTAAAGGTTTTGGGTAGCAAAGTCATAGTGTCAAACTATAGTGTCAAACAAGGACACATAGTGTCCCTTGGTCACAAGGACATCCAGTGCCAGCCTGACAGAAACAACACCTCACCCAGTGGTGCTGTAAGTGGAGTGCCCACACCTGCCTCCCTCGCCCTGCCTGCCTACCCTCCCCACAGCATGGGTGAAGTCTAGTGCTGGGGTCTCAAGTCTAATGACATATATGGAGTCCCTTGACTGGAAGTGTCTCCTGAGTCCTTGGGCCTCCAGACTGGCAAGGCCTAGGCCTCTGTGGGCTGTGTGCAGAGCCAAGAAGGGGAATGAGTATCAGCTTTGAGGGAAATCTGGCCTTGAGCCCTGACTGACAGGCCCTTCTCTAAATCTCATGTCCTCCTCAGTGATGTGGGGGGCGAGTGGCTAAATAATGGCTCAGGGACCTTCCACCTCTGATGATTCACTGGCCTTTAGGATATTCAGTTGGAGAACAGAAACAGAATTGGCCTTTAAGATCACAGAGCTGTAACAGGCCTTAAGGTTGTTCATCTCAGGTTCTAAAGGTGCTAACATTCTATTAACATGTTAACTCCTACACAAGTGAAGAAAAACATAGCACACAGCACTGTTAGCAGGTGATGTGATCACAAATGGCACCAGAGCTGTTTGATAGAGAAGGACTACCTTTTTGTCTGAGTTGGAGAAAAAGAACTCAAACCTCTTCCCCATGACTATCCCCATGTAAGGTGCACCTGGTCAGAGCCATCCTGCCTTTGTGGGGTGGGGCTTCTCCTCCCCCCACACATGTGGTGTGCATTGAAAGCTGCTGGGGAATCAACACAGGCCCTACATTTGACTTCTTCCAGAGTGCAGACACTTTGTTCATAGGACAGTTGTACTGCATTGTAAACAGTGAAAATCTTGACCTCTCACCACAACACAGGGCTGGAATGCTAATTGGTAGAGCTTATCCTAGGTTGAAAATAAAAGGGCACGTTTAGCAGGGCCTATTTTTTTTTAGAGTGGTGCCTCTACTTCAGAGATACTGAGATCACTTATTCTCCTTTACAGTGAAGATGTCAGTAAGATTCTCAAGTGGAGAAACACTTTTCAAAGCCCATGACTAAAAGTAAAGATAGTTTCTACCATTACTCTAGTTATCTGGCATGCTTCCCCCAATTCCCAGATGAGGGTCACGGGCTGCCTTGGACAAAGCAAGTTAGAGCTGACAGGGCCTTAACAACCATTTTCTTTTACTGAACCCCTTCCTTGCCCCTTTGCATTACAAATCAAGAAAAGAACCCCAAATAGGAGACCCGGTAGCTTGGCCAATGTCACAAACCACAACAAAAGACCCCACCCTTCTGAACTCCCACCTAGAATTTGTTTCTAGACACAGCATTGACGTCTTTATGGACTTCCCTAGCAGCCTTGACCACTATCTGGTACCACTGTAACATTTACAGAAGTTTTGTGAATCCCTACGTCAGTCCTCTCTTTTTACCAGATACATGCAAGAAAAAGTTTTCAACCTGTCAGTCCTGCCTAAAACTAGCCAGGATCGTCACAACACATATTCCTTTTACCCGCTTCCTGCCATCTTCCCAGACCTACCTCATTTCATAGCTTGAGTTCAGGATGGCTGTAGATGCAGGTGAGCCCAACTATAGATCAGCACTGTTCAACAGACATTTTCCATGATGACGGAAGTATTCTCTATCTGCACTACCCAATACAGCAGCCCCTACCCACCTGCCTGCTAGCCACAGGTGGGTACCAAACACTTGAAAAGTGGCTAGTGTGACTGAGGAACTGAATTTTTAGTTCTATTAAATTTTAGTACATTTTAAATTTAATTTTAAATAGATATGTGGCTAGTGGCTGTAATATTAGACAATAGGCAAATTAAAACCGTACCCGAGAAGCAGAAAAGCAAGTGATGGGCTGCTTGACTAATGAATCCAGGGTCCCACAAAGTCCTCCTTCTACTGCAGTTGATTCGAGTTAGCTTATCAAATACTTCCCAAAGGAATGTGTGAGGATAGATGCTAAGATGGGACAGATAGCGTGTGGCTCCTCTCACTCTATAGAATACAATTTCATAAGACTGCTATTTTCCGAGCTGGAGGTAAGATTGTAAACCAAACAGAACAGCATGTCACACCAACCTCACAGTCAGGAGCACGGCATGTGAATTCCCACAAAGGAAGAACACTTCACAGTTGCTGATGAGGAAGGGCATCGGCAGGAGGACCATGAGCGATTTGTCCCCAGGTGGGGGATCCTGGTCCTTCTGCACTATCTTTTTACACATTATTTACTGATTAACCAAGAAAGCAACGAAAACCCATCCCTAAGTTAGGAATGTGCTATGGCACAACCCATCACAAACCCAACATGTAGTGCTTACATCTCCGATGTGTCAAGAAACTGCCTAGCACTGTTCCCCTAGGCCCTGGCTCTTTACAACTGGAAGCTCAAGAGAGCAGGGGATATATCCCGTAGCCTTGGACACCCAGTTCCTGGAACAGCAGGCCCTGGAAGCCTTCGGAACTTCTACTTGGCTCTCTTGGGAGGCATGTTACTGAAGGTTGCCTGTTGACAGCCCTCTGTACCTCCTCCCACAAGCAGTGAGAAGGAAAGCTTAGCCAGCTCCAAGCACGGATGAGTTAGCTCCTGCAGGGAGAAGGTGGGTGCTTGGCAGCTATCTCATGCCTGGTAGCCCCCCTGGCCCCTTATCAGCCTAGCCTGGATCCTTGGGCTTTGCAGTGGAAGGCCCTATGCACCTGCTTGCTTGAATTCAGGAATTCTCTCAAGAAATTTCAGTATTTCTCTGAAGGAGAGAGGAGAGAGCACTGTTTCCCTATTTCTCTCTTCAGTAAAACCATTTTCAGGAGTACTGGCTTTGTATAAACTGCTAATAGCTATGGGGAGGGGTCATGCAGGGAAGAGATAGAGAAGAGAAGCCATTTTATTTTCACTTGTGTGGTCTTTAGGCCCAGGAAGGGCTGACTCTGTCTCAGAAGCACACGCAGAGGTGCAGTGTCTCTTGGATGCTGCATGTGATGAGGCCCTGCCAGAACAAGGACACAGTTTCATTCACGGCAGACACATCTCGTGGCTAGCTTATCTTGGGTGTGCATAGAGGGGTCCACCGGGGCAGCAGTGGTCACTGGTAGGCTCTTACAAATACAGAAACCACTGATGACAACTGCAAAGTATAATAAGTTTTAAATTTAACAAATTCATTAGTGATTTTAAAATGTCTTTTTCTGTAGTACATTGACACACTCAACTAAATTATGCCGAAGTTTTAAATCGTCAATTAAAAATGCACTGTGTTTGGGCCTACGCTCAGTAATATTTGAATAAATAAATGATTATTGAAAAGTAAGACATCTGTGCAGAGAAGGAGCGTTTGTGAAGAAACAAATGAAATTAAACTGGCAGCATCATAGCTGCATTCATGTGGCTACAAATGCAGGGTCAAAGCACTCCATGAGCGTTTTCTGTGGCTTCAAGAGGAAGTTAACCATGGAGTTCTCTTTTGGAAAAGCATCCTTAAGACTGAAAAACATTCCCACTCGAATGTCATTTTGCTGTTTTAAAATCACACAAAAAATAATTTACAAGTGTCTGAATGCAAGTTTTTGAGAAAGTGACTTAGATAATATTTTGCTAATGTTCATTTTCCAAGATGAAACTTTGTAAGCTGATTTTAAAATTAAGAATTTATCAGCTAAAGCACAGCAAGGCAGCATGGTAGCCTGAACTTACTGGGTTGGGGCAGGGTTTCTAAAACATGATGCCTGGCAGGCAAAGTGCCCGTGGCCTCGAAGCCTATGTGTGTCTCTCTGGCCTTCATTTTCTCACTGATAAAATGAGCAGGCAGGAGTAGGCACATAAGGAAGCTATAGGAAGATGCTTTCTAGCTGGGAAATTCTGTGGTTCTGCCTTAGAATAAATGATACACACTGTTGCAATCTGAGAGTATGGGTCAACAAACTATGGCCAAATCCAGCCTGTGGCCTGTTTTGCATAGCCCTCAAGCTGAGAAAGTGTGATAAAAACAAAAATAAAATACAAAGAAAAAAAAAAAACAATGAATATGTGACGTAGATGACCATATGTTGCCTGCAAATCCTGAAACACTTACTCTGTAGCCCTTTACAGACTCCTGCCCTAGATCGCGGGCATTAATGGGAAGTCCTTCCCAAGACGGCAAGAAAGTAATTTTGCAAAAAAGGTTCTAGCCAAGTGAAATCCACTTAAGACAGCATTAGGAAAGCCTAGACAGTACTTCCTAACAGAGAAGAGGCGTCCGCTGGAGGCAACTAACTGATAACTAAGAGATCTAGCTTTCTTATCCCACAGAATGGGCATGGTGGGAGGCTCAGGCAGCACTGCTGCGTACAGGTTTGCAGGGCACGCACCGCACGACTCTAGGAGACACCTGCCTCATCATCGTCGTGAATGGCACCCTCTGCAGCACAGAGTGCACAGCTTGCACAGCTGAACTTCACACATGGTAATCTGAAGTCACTTTGGTAGGGTACATATTAACTTTGAAGATCTTATGTGAATGCACTCCCTCTGAGTTAATGTAACATGTTCATGTTGCAGAGCTCCCGTACCTGCTTAGTAGCCCCAGACATTTCATCACTCGGGACTGGGCCTCGACCTTGGCCCTGGCCGCTGGAGCAGTAGTGGTTGTCCGCAATGGTGATCTGTTCGTTCTCTTCGGCCTCTAGCTGGCTCTGGTTAAAACGCAGGGAACCTTTTAGAATGTCTTTGATCTATTTTCAAAGAAGAAGAAAATAAATGAAAAAAATGGATGAGTTTGTTTTCAGATGTTAACTGAATCTCTCAGACATTTAAACTAGCCTTGTCATCAATTCTTTTTTATAGTATGAATATTAATGTTTTACCATAAGAAACAAATAAAGGGAAAAATAATCAAACTTTATCAAAGCTGCTGACTTAACAGTGAGCAAGGAAAATGTCAGGTCATTTAATAGCCAGGTTTTCACTGGGTAGGATATAGGAGTCACATACCTGGTAGCTATCTTAAAGCAGGAAGCACAATTTGTCTGGACACCCACCCCCACTGCATACTGTGGTCACTAAAGTGGCTCCACCCGAGCTGGACTGTTTATAGCAGGTAGGCATTTGGAAACAGCATATTCTTTTTCACTGACATATATGTCCCATTTAGATCTTCAAGGCTTGGGTCAATGTGGTCCTTGAGGGTCTGAGGCATGGTATAGGTACCGATTATGACTTGTGCTCCAAAGACATTCATGAATTCATGGATGAATGACTGAACGTGATGCTGGTCTACCCACACTAGCTTTGGGTGAGGAACAAACAGAATGGGCTTGGTAAGAGAGGAAGGGGAGGTGTGGGAAATGGAAAACCAGCATGAGCCGCCAGCTAGTCAGATACAATCGTCAGAAGGAGCGGGGGCAAAAAGAGGTGGAAATGCAGAATGGGCTCTGTCTGGGAGGAAATAAGGGGTAGGGGATGCTGGCTCTAACATCATGGTATTCCATGCCCTGGGGCCCTCCCCACAGCAGGAGGGTCACAAAGAAATAGTGCCAGAACAATGCACGTACCTGTTTTAATCCTGCCAGGGAAACCAGAATTTGATCTTCTTTTTCCAAATTTTCTTGTAATATCACATCTTGAATATTTACTGAAAATAGAAGAATGACATTTTATAACCCGTGCTCTGAGCATAACTTACCTGCTGCCACACCATAACTTCAGACAGGCTTGGGAAGTTTTCTGCCAAATCTCACAGCAACTATTTCCACAAAGGATGCTCTGCAAACTGTAGATGGGGAATCTGCAGGGCTGACTGGAGAGGGCAGCAATGGGCTTGGCACACACAGCCTCCCCTCCAGCGTCCCAGGAATGTGCTCTCATAGTAACAGATGTGTCTTCACTTCCAACCAGAGACCTGGGCACCACTTGTCGACATGATGTAGCCAACAGCCTGAGCCATTCATCTAATCTCTAGGAGGAACCTTTTCAGCCAAGGCTTCCTAGATAGCCTCATGGGTCAATGATTTGACCAATTCCTTCCAGGTGACTGAAATTAATAAAGAAACTATCTTTAAGGATTTATAACAGTAAAACATGTTGCCATTTCAACATAATAGTAAAAATGAGAGGACAAACTCATGGCACTACTGATTGCCATTAGATGACCATGTCTATGGAGTCTCCTCTAGGAGACTTAGCCACCACACAGGAAGTCTTTGCTCCAGACCTGATCTGAGGGACCCACCAAGCCAGCTTCTGACCATCAGGCTCAGTGTCACACTGAGTTGCTTGCCCGTCAGTAAGTTAAACACTCAGTGGTCCTTAGCCTTCCCTGTGCCTGCAGGATGCACACAGCTCTATGAGGAACTGTGGTATTCTGAGGCAGGACTCTCAGAAGGAACTGGGGTTGGGAGGAGAAGTGAAAGCCTAGTCTCCTGGGGACGTACAAGGGAATGTGTTGGTGGAGGGAAGGAGGAGGGCACAATTAAAACACATTTTCAAAAACATGCTGATAGATAGCTAAGTCAATTCTAATCAAAAAGAACAAAGCTGGAGGCATCACGCTACCTAACTTCAAACTATACTATATAAGGCTACAGCAATCAAAACAGCATGGTACTGGTACCAAAACAGAGATATAGACCAATGGAACAGAACAGATGCCTCGGAGGCAACGCCACACATCTACAACCATTTGATCTTTGACAAACCTGACCAAAACAAGCAATGGGGAAATGATTCCTTGTTTAATAAATGGTGTTGGGGAAACTGGCTAGTCATGTGCAGAAAGCAGAGACTGGACTCCTTCCTGACACCTTACACTAAAATTAACTCCAGATGGATTAAAGACTTAAACATAAGACCTAACACCATAAAAACCCTGGAAGAAAACCTAGGCAAAACCATTCAGGACACAGGCATAGGCAAGGACTTCATGACCAAAACACCAAAAGCATTGGCAACAAAAGCCAAAACAGACAAATGGGACCTAATCAAACTCCACAGCTTCTGCACAGAAAAAGAAACAATCATTAAAGTAAATCGGCAACCAAGAGAATGGGAAAACATTTTTGCAATCTACCCATCTGACAAAGGGCTAATATCCAGAATCTACAAAGAACTAAAACAGATTTACAAGAAAAAAACAAGCCCATTCAAAAGTGGGCGAAGGATATAACAGACACTTTTCAAAAGAAGACATATATGAGGCCAACGAACATATGAAAAAATGCTCATCATCACTGGTCATTAGAGAAATGTAAATCAAAACTACACTGAGATACCATCTCACACTAGTTAGAATGGCGATCATTAAAAAATCTGGAGACAACAGATGCTGGAGAGGAGGTGGAGAAATAGGAACACTTTTACACTGTTGGTGGGAGTATAAATTAGTTCAACCATTGTGGAAGACAATGTGGTGATTCCTCAAGGACCTAGAAATAGAAATTCCATTTGAACCAGTAATCCCATTACTGGGTATATATCCAAAGGATTATAAATCGTTCTATTATAAGGACACATGCACACGAATGTTCACTGCAGCACTGTTTACAATAGCAAAGACTTGGAACCATCCCAAATGCCCATCGATAATAGACTGGACAGGGAAAATGTGGCACATATACACCATGGAATACTATGCAGCCATAAAAAATGGTGAGTTCGTGTCCTTTGTAGGGACATTGATGAACTCGGAAATCATCAATCTCAGCAAACTGACACAAGAACAGAAGATCAAACACCGCATGTTCTCACTCATAGGTGGGTGTTGAACAATGAGAACACATGGACACAGGGAGGGGAGCATCACACACTGGGGTCTGTGGGGGGGAACTAGGGAAGGGACAGCAGGAGGTGGGGAGTTGGGGAGGGATAACATGGGGAGAAATGCCAGATATAGGTGACTGGGGTGGGAGGGAAGGCAGCAAACCACATTGCCATGTATGTACCTATGCAACAATCTTGCATGTTCTTCATATGTACCCCCAAACCTAAAATGCAATAAAATATATATAAAAAGTAAAAAAAAGTGAGTTGCTTGTAAGTAGCCAAAAAAAAAAAAAAAAAAATGTTGAGGTAGACGCACCAATTTGAGAATTACTACAGTGAGTATGTGTTCACCCTCCTTTAACATCTTTTTTATTCTTTGCGGTGTTAAAAAATGCCCCATTTATAATGTCTTACATGCTACATTCTTAGTGACTCACTTAAGATTGTTCCAGTCTCTACGGGACTCCTAGATTCCATGCTTGGTCCCATAGAGCTACTAGGGCTAATATACCACTTCTCAGTTGCTCAGTGCCCCACATTGGCAGTGACAGAGCCAGTGCACTGTGCCCTGGGCCTGGAGGCAGGCTCTTGTTCCAAATCTATGCACACAGGCTTCTCTTTACTGTTCAACTTTCTGCCCCAGTGTTGTCTCCTCACAGCAGCCTTCCTGCCCACCCAGACTAAAGAAGCCCCCACATCACTCTCCAGGCTCTACCACACCATCTATTATACTGTATTTGTATGCACTTGTCATTGTCTGATGCATGTATTTGCTGGTTTATTCACTGTCAAGCTCCCCCTAACAGGATATCAACTCCAAGATGTTCTTGCTCTGAGCTTTATTTCTAGCCCTCAGAATAATGCCTGGTGCATTACAGGTACACAATAGGTATTTACTGACTGATGGAATGAATTAATAAATGAACATGAAAAAACACGCTTCAAACTTGCATATTAAAACACTACTATTCTAAATATTTCCAAAAAAGTATTTTCAGTAAGGGGCAAGACAAAGACTGATACCATCAACATGCTTCCAGCCTGAAAACTTATTAGAATCTTCAATATGAATAAATTCATAAACCAGGTGATAAGTCCTCTTACAAAATGTTGCAGAAAAGCAACAGCTTTCATTTATCGTGCAAGCTTGACTGTAGTTTTGGCTATTAGAATGGCCTGCTCCAAAATAAGAAAGCAGGTTGAATGCGAGTGGAATGACAGACATAATTAGAGAGCAAATGTTTTTTGTTTCCTTAAAATCCTATAACCATTTATTCTCTCTCAATAAAACAAAACAGAATCCACTCAACAAGACGTTAACAATAAGCAACTGTAGAAAATCTGCAAGAACCAGTTATGCAGGTCTTTTAGAGAAGCAGTCCCCAACCTTTCTGGCACCAGAGACTGGTTTCATAGACAACAATTTTTCCACAAATGGTGGGGGAAATGGTTTTGGGATGAAACTGTGCCGCCTCAGATCATCAGGCACTAGAGTCTCACAAGTGGCACACAACCTTGATCCCTCGCATGCACAGTTCACAATAGGGTTTGCACTCCTACAAGAATCTGATGCTGCCTCTGATCTGATAGGCGGCGGAGCTCAGGTGGTAATGCTGGCTCACGTGCCCCTCACCTTCTGCTGTGTAGCCCAGTTCCTAACAGGTCATGGACCGGGGGTGAGGACCCTGTTTTAGAGGATTGAGAAAGATGACTTTGCAGGACTGCTACAGCTTTTCAGGTTGAGCTGTGAGGGCCTGAAGGCTGGCAGAGGCAGCATGGCACAGAGCATTGGGTGCCTGGACAGGGAGGTGGATTTTGCCCTTGCCGAGCTGAGAGGTGGGCTCAGGTTCCCAGCTCCTACTGGGTAGTTGAGAGCAGCAAGGGGGCTGCTCTCAGGTCCCCAAAGGAAGCTTAGCCGGTGAAGTCAGGAGCATCAGGACATTTGAAAGAAGGATAGGGGGCTTCTTGGGTTCAAGGAACTAAAGAAAGTGCCCCTGGAGGTCACACCCACAGGGCAGAGGCCAGCACAAAGCGGGAATCTGCAGAAACCAGTGTGAGCTTTCCTGCTGCCCTGACTAGATCTTTGTCTCCTGCGTGTCCCTTTGATAGTCTGCTGTGGAACGTATCCTAAAACAAAAGATTTGGCCACATTGCCTGGTTTCTGCCCCCAATGTAATAGTGGGGCTCATGGCCAGCAGCAACAAGGACTAGAGGCTTTTAGGTCACAGTCTATGGGCACACAGGGCAGTCAGTGGTTCCAGTGGAAAATGAAACCCAGAAATGTACAAGAACACAAAGCTTTCTTTAGAGGAAAGGACCTAGAAGGCACCCAGAAGCTCTTCCTCAAACACCAAAGAGCCATGTGAGCCCATCCCAGAAACCTGGCACCATCTTGGCACCACAATGCAGCCTACTAATCTTGTCCTGCAGGCAGAATACAATGCTCTGGCCTGATGTGCTACACCGTTGTGGAACGCAGTGCAGAGTGGGTTCACCCAAGTAGAGGGAAGAACTCAGAACTGTAGTATCACCACCAGCATACCCTCATCCCGCAATTCCTTAGCCTTAATTTATGGACTGAGTCAAGGACCACCTTTTAGGATCTGATGAAAACCAGGACCTTCTTCCCTGAAAACCCAGGTACATATGAACTGTTCACTTAATTTCAGGGATAAACCTTTGTTTTAATCAACTAAGCTGAATAGGCTGACTTTAAGAAATCTAGGGTAAATCCAGAGTGAAACAAAAGGGCACCTTCAGAGGCTGTTAAATGTTCTGAATACAAGAATTTACATCTTACTAAAAGTACTGACCATAGAAATACATTCCCTAACAGTTCCCCTATATAAGGTAGCATTTACAAACATTCTACTT